TGCTACAAAATAATGGTTTATTTCATCTGTAAAAGGCCCACAATTACAAAGTAATAGTAAGTTTTATCACCATATGCCTCGTATCATCTAAGAGGATTCTAGCAGGTAATTTAGTAAATGGGAATGGATCCATTAGGTGGATCCTGATGTTCCCAAGTCCATTAGCTGCCCTGTGTTTGGATCATTGGATCATCTCATAATGAATTAATTTGATGAATAGGCTCCTTGAAGTACTGTTTGTTTCGCACATCAAAGTTCAAACTCAATTCTTCGGAATGAATAGGCCGTAAACAGGGAAGAACACAACTTTTTGAGATTTCTAATACAGTACAAAGTGGTGATAAGAACTAATTTATTATTTAGAAACTCTCCATTGAAACGTGAATAACAGCAAAAGCAGATGACGTCTAATCTAATTTCTTATAATTTTTTACGCAGCAGCGGCGGCAGCAGTGATGCATTCAATTGCCTGTTTGCATATGCCTGTCATTGTTGCCTCGGGTCCATAAACCTGTAAAGGACAAAATTGGAGGCCCTTAAGTTTTTGTTTTACTTTGGGATTGTTTTACCTACAATGCATCCACAACAATAAAATACAGTGTAAGATCTCACGTCCTCTTCTTTCTTACCTCGAGAGGAATGCCAATTTCCTCCCCAAGAGTCCGCATCTTTGCCAGACCCTTCTGATAATTTGGACCTCCTCTCCTCACAAATATATGCATTCTTGCAGCTTTAAGCTTTGCCTCCTGTTAACCCAACAATACTTTCAGTGCTTATTGTCCAAACATGAAAGGTATTGTTTCACAAAATAGTTCAAGCATATTTGAAGCTCACCTTTTCTTTCAGGGCTCGAATTATACCACTAAATGTAGCAGCAACATCGGTAAAGTTAGCTATTCCTCCTCCAATTACAAGAGCTCTCTTTCGTCCATCAGGATTTGCGGTTGCACACTGAATAGTTGAAGATAATTTAGTCACACAGACAGCTAAAGAGAAGTTAGGTAGCATATGTAGTCATTTAGGCAAGTGATCTATGAATATTTGATTATGGTTTTTATTGTTTATGCACAAATGGTTTACTCAAAGCATATCACAAATAACCAAATTAACAGGAACATAGGAAAGAGAGTTACATCAATTACGACTCTGGCATATTGCAGAACCTCCTCTTCATTTGGGGCCCCACTATATTCTGCATAATTCCCAAGCTCAGAAGCATAGCCAAGATCCCCAACCTGATTAGGTTCAGCATTCTTAAGCATGCAAGTACATAAAATGCTCGTGTGTGTGTGTGTATGAGAGAGAGGGAGAGAGAGAGAAATGTACCGTATCAGCATAGATGACACTTGCACCTCCACCAGCTACCATAGTCCAAATTCTTCCTTTTGGGTTCAGAACTGTGAATTTCAAAGATGCACTAGTCTGCCAAGAACAAATAGAAAGGTTCAGATTTCAACATCATCTATAAATGGTTCAAGTACTCATACTTTAACAATAGATATGGCACTAAACAGGATTTGTGTAGCCAATCCCATAAAGTTTAGATAAGGCTTAGATGATGATGATGATCAAACTTCAACATCATCTATGCATTAACATATTCAGAGAACAAAAATAGCATTTCTCCATGCCATTGTTATGGAATAAATGTCTCATTTTGTTGACAATAAGAACTTTAGGCAAAACTCCAAGATGTAGAAAGTAAAGAACTTTGGGAGCGTAATTTCTAGATGTGCATATTCCTTCAAAATAAGAATTTGCACGAATAATTTGTTGATACTTAGTTTCTTCTCTTCTTTCATGGGATATGTTCATTTGATGATATTATGGTTATACTTTATGTTAGTTTATCTGATATTCTACAACCAAAGTAAACATTGAGATAACAATGCAGAAAATTATGAATGACAAGAAAGGTCTTACCGAAGTTAACCTGCATAGAGTAGAATGTTGGAGCAGGATTTATGCAATCCCAAGTAGTTTGGACTTTGGATAAGGCTCAGTTGAATCAGAAACTCAAGAGTTAAAAAAAAAAGGTCTAGTGAAAAATTATAAGGGACCAACAACCTAGTTATATTGTTCCTATGAAACTGAAACACCAATAGGAGTACTTGTAAACCATATTGAGATTTTGCAACTAATTATTTCATGATGTGCTTAGAAAGAAAGTTTTCATCAAGACATCAGAAGGGCATGAAAAAGAAAAGAAATATCCATGCAATATTATAATGTTATATCTACCTTTTCATCTAGCCCATGAATAAAGCTTTCTGTAGGACTCATAACTCTTCCAAATGGCATTGGGAATTCAATTTTACCCCACCTGCAAAAGTAAAAACCCATATGACATAGATACTAGAGATTCTAATCCATAAATCAAATTATGAGTTCATAGAACTATTCAGTTAATATGATATGTCAAAGATAAAAATCAGTAGTCTTATAGGATAAGTACTCTATACCTCTTAAAGTTCTTGAAAGCAGCAGTGTCATCCAGCTCCCCTCTCATATCCAAAGGATAAGGCTTTCCATCAACCAAAGTAAAAGGGTTCATCTCTAGGAAAGTGAAGTCCAGATCTGGTAGCATTGAAATTTAAAGTTAATTGCCAGTTATTTAAGTCGCTGCTATAGTAAATTAGTTATCCTTTGAAACTCCAAAAGAATTAGCAAAATTAAACTGTTCAAAATTCATGCACACCTGAAAATAGAGCAAAGATCACTTTGATAAACTCCTGAAGTTTGTCTTTGATCTGCATCAGTAGAATAGCATTACCATCAATTTTCATATTAAAATTCTTCATACAATGACTATGAAGTAAGACAGAAGTATATATGATGCATTAAATTTTTTTTGGTAAATGCATGATGCATTAAATATGTATCACCTTTTTCAAATGTGCATTAAGAAAGTTAGGCTTGCTGGGTGGGTTAAAAATTCCTACCACCATACTGCCAGTTTGAAGTATTGACTACAGAATTTTCATTACCCATGTCCACAATAACCATAAGAAACAGAAGAGGAGTCCACCTAGTTACAGACAACAAGTATATTACCTCTAGTGGTAGGGTTGCAATTAGTGGAGCACATGTTTCAGATGTGAATGGCACCCCAGTTGGAACAAATATGGTCTTTACCTGAACAAAAGGTATTAATATATTCAGTGATTGTAAAAGGATGAAATATTAGGAGACCAAGTCATGGTGAACTTTTTTATAATGGGATTAGCAGGACATCATAAAATTGTTTATGTATTATCAAACTTGTTTTAATAATTATATTGTTTTCTTTACCTGAACAAAAGGTATTAACACATTCAGTGATTGTAAAAGGATGAAATATTAGGAGACCAAGTTATGGTGAACTTTTTTATAATGGGATTAGCAGGACATCATAAAATTGTTTATGTATTATCAAACTTGTTTTAATAATTATATTGTTTTCCTTTCATCAGCAAAGGTAAAAAATGGTGTATTAATTTATATGCGTAATATGAAAACATTGAAGTACCAAGCACCAGTATTCAATACTAAAACAATGAATCCATGACTATCCAATGATCAAAATCAGGTCCCCTATACAAAATACAGAAAATACTTCAACTCAGCAGTGAAAATACTCCAAAAGGCTTGCTCCTTCAGGCTTCTGATCCCACAAGACTAATGGCTAGCAAATTTGCTGATCTAGTAATCCAATGGAAAAAAGAGTTCAAACTAGGGATGGCACTCTATATTTTGAAAAGTCTCACTATGTTCTTTCCATAATAAGTTGAACCCGTTTAATTGGGTCAAGGCTTAGATGATGATCATTATGTTCTTGACATAATAAAATGGTTTGAAAATCTCTATTTATGCATCTATGTTTTTTTATTCTAATTTACGCATCTATGTTGCATACTATAAATGAAACTACAAATTCATGTAGGTCTTTGTTTTATTGTTAAGTATTCATATAGGTAGGTCTTTGTTACAATATGTTTGTACATGAACCAACAAGAATAGGAGCATACCTTGTCCCAGTTTTCTTCAATTTCAATTCCCCCACACTCTGAAAAGCTTATACTACATCTATGTTGCATACTATAAATGAAACTACAAATTCATGTAGGTCTTTGTTTTATTGTCAAGTATTCATGTAGGTAGGTCTTTGTTACAATATGTTTGTACATGAACCAACAAGAATAGGAGCATACCTTGTCCCAGTTTTCTTCAATTTCAATTCCCCCACACTCTGAAAAGCTTATACTACAGCCAAGCCGCTCTGAGACAATATTGAGATAAAATTCTTCATTGTGTGGAATAAAGGGTTCAACAATGAATGTTGTTATAGGGCCCTTGCATCCACCCATCTCTACCTACAAGCGTACAAAGATAAAATATAAATTGAATAGGCAGATGATTTATATAGGAGTGATGTATGATGTTAAAAATAAAACAATTTCTACTCAGAACTCATTAGAATTGGACCTATGGAATATTAACTACCTCTTTTCCAAGCCGCTCCTTCACAAAGGTAGCAACTTCTGCCAAATCTAGATTTAAGGCCACCAATCCACTCTTCCCACGCTTTCCAAACAACATATCAGGCTTTACAACCAGTTTTCCTGATAAAAGCCAGGGTTCTCTTTCTGCTAGCTCATTGAACTCAGTTGATTCTGTAATCTAAGCATCAAATAGTAGGTAAAGACATTCTGTGGTTAGATAACGAGCCGAATCTCATAACCAACCCTTCATATATTTCATGCTAAATTAATACCAAAATGTTCTTTGACAACTAAAGGAAAACAACTGATGGAAATTCAAAACATTGAAATGATCCAACTACATGTAGATGCATAATTGCTTAACTTCTGGGGTAGAAATGTCTGGAAAGTAGCAACAGAACAAAGTCCATCCAGCAGGTTATCATTGAGGAATGTGCCCAGTGACGAGTGACTGACACAAGTATGTTCATCTAATCGTGAACCTGGTAATTATGGTAAGGATATTTTTTCCTAAATGATAAGGAATTTAATTTTTCAATTCCTTTGGTGCTTATAAAGAATTTGCTAAGAGTTGATTCTGATAGTGGTAAAAGAGCAAATAACTACTTTCTGTTAACTAGGAACTGCATTATTGTTTTGAAAGCGATAATACTTGAGCAACATGGTTAACAATATATAAGAGATTTGAAAAAAAGAAAATATAAAGGCGAAATAGTCTATAAGTGTTCTTCAAAAGCTGTAAATATAGAGTTGTAGCTAACTAGCTAGACGCTTCCACTAAAAAGCCAGAAGTCGCCACTTCTAGCTTTGTAGAAGCGAGATACAGCTGTATGGGATGAGCAGGGTCTCTTACTTGAAAATTGAAATGCAGAGCTCTTAGCATTAAGCTTATAAACATCCAATAAAAAAAAAAGAAAAAAACGGAAAAGAGTCCACTTTTAGCTCTAGTATGTGGAAGTTGTATATACCTGTGCCGATTTAATGCCTAATTCTGTAGCAGAGAGCCTCTTAAAATGCTCTTTCAACAAGCGCTTCGAATCATACTCTCTGATCTTCTTCCGAGCCATTCTTTAACCTATTTAGACGAAACCTCGTATAAGCATAAAGTGTTGTGGGAATATGGGGATGTAAATCGGATTAAGCAATAAATCTTATCCAAAATGTCCAAGAAACCACAACATCTCAAATCCGAACGAGTATAGAGAAATCCAGAGAGCAAAACAGATCTGCAGAATCAGATGAAAGAATTCGGAAAAAAAAGAACCGCATAAAGAAATAGAGCAATAAGATGAGACCGATGAGCTCAAGGACAACAGAGACAAAGGAAATATTAAAATTTAGACGTTAGAACCATAATAAATCTACATATTTTTAGAGGAAAAATAGGATTTTCGAAACGAAACTTTAGCGCAGATCACCAAACGTCAAAAGTGTGGAAACTAAAATAGAAAAAGCAGATAAAAGAAGAAGTAAATTTGAAGGAAGGAAAACAGGAAAGAGAGTGAAAGAACAGAAATTAGCTCCAAAGAAGAAGTAGAACTAGCTAGAAAAGGCATAAGAAAGGAAACTACCTCCAAATCCAAAGCCCGAAGCAGCAGAAAAGCGAACAGTGGAGAAGGAGGTGAGGTGTGATGGAAATGACGACTCCTCGCTCTCAGCGTCTTGCCTACTTATAGGCGAAATTGGAAATTTTGATTATTATATAAATTTATTCTCGCGGGAAATTTTTTATATAAAGAAGGAATATGTATCGAATGATGACATCATGAGACACCTAACCGTTGAAGTGAAAAGTGAAGACCAACTGCCTGTTTTTCGTGTCCTCGTAGCTGCCATACTCGGGGATGATTCTGTACTCTGCAACCTAGAAAACTAGATGCAATGTGGCACAGCAGTAAACGTAGGATCATTAAAGCAGGTTCTTACGTGGGAAGCAGAAGCAGTTGGAAAACCAACAACCATTTATCGGGAACTGGAAGTTAAAAAGTAGAAGTAGTAAATGGAAGGGTGACCCAGACCCAGACCCACCATGAGAGTCTGAGACCTGAGTAGAGACAAAGCCCAAGCCCATCTTCGTTCAACGGCTTTAGGTCCGTGTCAGAGTGAACGATTGACGTAAAATAAAAAGCCCAAACGGCAGCCGAAGAGAAGAAAGGTCCATTAGTCCATATTGTTGAGCTCCGTCGTAAATCAGACGGTAGACGAGAAGGAGATGACGAATACTCCTAGTTCCAAGTCAAGCTAGCTAGCGATAGGCTAATTGGGGAAACGAGGGAGTGGCAGCAGTTGATGGTTTTTTGGAGTGGAGTGGAGGACTTCCTGTGCAATTCGGGTTCGGGAAATGTGGACCGGAAATTGGAATGCTCTCTTAGTCCGTTAGTCAAATCAAATCGGAGGCCGCTTTCATACGTAACCTAAACTATAAGGGAAAAGTACGGAAACACATGATGCAGAATTTTGAATTCCAGCCCCCCTTACAAGTAGCCCTCTCCCCCTATAAACCACATCCTGTTCGTGAATTTGACATTAATTGACGGTCAGGATGCATTCCCCCTGTACTTTGGGCCTAGAAAATTATGATCTGGGCTGATTGGAACTTCTCCCAAATTATAATTTTAAAACGTGGGTTCCATGTTCCATCCAGTCCAGTCCACTGGGGGAAAAGATCAAAAGAACAAAGAAAATAAGAAAAAAGTGGAAAAAGTCTGGCTTGATGGCTGGGGCTAGAGATTTTTCCTGTGGCTTGGCGATTTTACAGGCACACAAAGAGTGTTGCTAAATATTAGAATTAGACCAGAAACAGAGAAGTTGATGTTGTGTGATTGCTACTTAGTCCTAATAATAATAATAATAATAATAATAATAATAATAATAATAATAATAACCATGATGATGATGATAAATAATAATAATAATAATAATAATAATGATAAATAATAATAATAATAATAATAATAATGATAAATAATAATAATAATAATAATAATAAATAATAATAATAACGATCATGATGATGATGATGATGATAAATAATAATAATTTGTTAAAAGAATCGTACTCTGTGGTAGGTGAAGTTAGAGTCTACTCTAGTAGGGAGTCTTTAGTCATTACATTAATGGGGTGTAATAATTTCAAAGCATCTAATTTATTGGATGTATTAAGATGGAGTCAATTGATTCACATTTGAGAACTGAAATTAATTAGGGGATACCGTTGTGTATACAATATACAGTTTCTCACTATTGACTATCGTAGTGAGCGGGGCAGGCAGAGCCATGTTGGAATTCTAAAGTAAATTCGAGGAATTAATAGAAAAAAGAACAGAACACAGCATAGTTACTTATGGCTAATATCTACATTTTGAATTTACTTGTCTAACTACTAGTTCACATCCTGCATAAAAATTGCAATTATTTTTTGAATCTCGCCTTCACCTCCATGGCTCCATCAAATTAAACCTCTCTTTACATACATCCAATATATCTTTGGCCATAATATTAATATCTGCTTCTCTTGCTACCTCAGGCCTCTCCTACATTGATTATTGATTATTGCGGTGCCAATATATCATCTTCGATTTTATCTCTGTTAATCTGTCACAAACTCACAGTGCATGCAATCGATTGCAATTTGCAATTTGCTCCTTTCACAAGCTCCATTTTACTCATTTCTAAAAAAAAAAACAATGGTGATCGATCTTTGACTTTTAACAAGAATTGGTAAACGCCCTACTGAACTGATCACATATCATAAACAAGAAACACTAAAAAAGAACCCCCACCCTCCCCAAATGCTCCATTTTCTTCCATGCAGTACTTCAGGTCGTCTGTGTGACCTGTTCGCTTTCATATTTGCAAATGCAAGGTCGTTCTGTATTGCAAGTAGAAGAGATTAAAGGTGAAATAGGAAATAGTGTGGCCATGTTTATATATATCAAATTAAATTGGTGTGGATCTGACAACAAAGATTCATTAACCCCTCATCTTTGGTTCTGTTCATCCGTGACACCATACAACTCATCAAGAGCCCTACAAGGTTGTCAATCCATGTTAAAAAATAAACACAACTTCATCAGGGTCCATCCGGTAGATTTGGGAATCCTATGTTCTATCATTTGTACATAATAGTTATAACCAATAATGAGGAACTTCACGATCAGAATAGTTTTAGCTGTAGGACCAATATCTATTCTATCACAAGTCAGTACATAAGCTGCGAAATATATAGTTGTAAATGCTTCAAAAAATAGTCAATTTTCAGCCTTCAGGCTACAGTCAATGTGCTCACTACAAAGCAAAGAATTAATTGTAGATGGAGTCTCTAGACTATAGAATTAAGGTAAGAGCATTAAGAGAGATTAATCAATAGTCGGCTCATACGTGTTAGTGATGAGGTAACGCTCAACTGAACCGTAGCCCTAAAAGGGAACCCAAAGAGTGAAGGTAGACAAAATGTGGTAGAGTCAATGAACTGGAAGTGGAGTATGGAGTGCAGCATTAATTAATCACAATCCCTTGCTTGTATTGGCTAAGGAGTTTTTTTTTTTCTTTCGTGGGACCTTAATCACATAATGCAATGTTGAATAATCTGGCTGGCTTGGGAGGGCACTAAGGCCCACCAACACCCAGGAAGTATTAAGGCAAAGAATCCCACAGCCCAATTTAGTCCGCGTCTCTCCAACAAGGCACTTCTAGTTCTAGTGCCCGTTTAGGAGGGGGGGTTTTCATGAATTCGGATTAGCCGGAATGCGATTGACTGTTCAGCTGGCTGTGGAACCAATAATGATATTCCACGCCGGGTCCACTATGAATTTATCATTGATTCCACAGTTACAGCCATCGCGTTCAGGCAATCCTTGCCAAGTTTTCATGGCATCTGGTTTTAGGAACGGTCAATTAGCAATATCTGACAAATACCCCCGTCCCCAGAAAGCACAAAACATTAAACATCCACTTAAAGCAAAAATATGGCTTTCCACAGAAGCCGTATTGGTGGAGCAGCTCAATCAATGCTTCAGGCCTCGAAAATAAGAGCCTTCTTCCGAACAGCTGAACCAAAGGAGCAAAGTAGCTACATATGGACCTAACCAAAGCCCTCCCAGTCTTGTCTTTGATCCTGCGGCTTCGTGCGCTTTAGTCGCTTCTGACATCGCATGCTTGCAAACTATAATACTCGTTATCCCTGAATTGAGTTAAAGAAGAAGCATCCCTAAGGTGGGGGGGGGGGGGGCACACGTCCAAATGTCTTATTTTTTATAGGCATCCTAATTGGTCAATTCTCACCTCTCATCAAAAGAGGTAACTTCGATAAGAAAGTCAGATCACTCATGCTTGAGAGAATCTAAAATTTCAAAACATAACTTGTGGCCGTGTTTCACACTCTTGGATGGCCGAGACTTTAGAAAAAAATGAAAAACAAAACAGTCTAAAGAACCTCGTTGAAATAAAATCTTACTGCCATTCTGCCAAATGGTTGAAAATCTAAAGAAACAATCCATCTAATACACTTTATAAAAGTAACATAAAAGCTTCTATCCAAAAATAATGTCTCGGATTTTCTCTTCCAAATTTGTTTTGATTACAAAAAAATGAAATAACAACTACCCGGACATCCAAACATCAGATGAGATGCCATTGAACCAAAAGATAAACAAAACCGCATATACCTAAGAAACCGGTCCTACCTAACATCGCCTGCTCATATTAGACCTTGATGGCATATTTCCTCATTGGGAAATACATCTCCCTCTTCTTCTCCCTCTCGGTCTTCAATGATGCCTGAGAAAAGATGGACATAATCACAATTCAAGGGAGAATTCTTCCATAAAAGAAGTTGGAGCACAAACTCTCCCAAACCATAATCAAACAAAATCTGAAATGAATACTCGCGAGAGCACATGTACTGCCAATTAAAACCCATACAGGGCTAACCATGATATGATGCTATGTGATCAAATAGAATAAAGAGTTTTGGATAACTTAATCCAATGCCTCCTATTAGGATGCATCATGATGATTACTGAAAATTTTAAAAATAATAATTATCAAAAAATTTAAAAAATAATAAAAATAAAAATTGCTTTAACACCTTTTGACACTGTAATTCATCAAAAAAAAACACTTATGGACACTGTAGCGTATTAAATTAATTGTTCCTAACAGAGGTGTTAGTAAAAGGAGAGTATTAAATGCAGAAACGCATATACTGGTTACTGGGATGACTGGAAAAAACAGAGATCAGAAATGAAGTCATTTGAAGGAACCTAGGAGTAGCTCTAATACTTAACCATCAAAAGCACCCATAAGAAAAAGTGATCTGTTGCAAGTTGAAGGGGCCTAGATGGGCAAGGACTAGACCAAAAAGTACATGGACCAAAGTAGTAAGAAATTATTTAAGTACCCACAATTTAACAATGGATATGGCATTAGGAACTGAATAGTGAAATGGGATTCACATAGCCAATCCCATATAGTTGGGATAAGGTTTGGATGGTGATGATTAAGCTATTAAAGACAGTAGAATAGCATTGCAGTAAAGATATTCATGGTGCTACATGCACTTAGACACCATAGCATATGCCAAACAAAAGGGAACCTATGTGACCCAAATGCACTTAGAGTGATGTAATTTACACTAAATTGAAGTATCTGACATGGCAGAGCAGACTTGTACTTTTTGTGCTTCCATGAAACCAACTGGCTCAGTTGGTACCCTTGTACAGGCATACAGGTAAAATGGAAGGTAACATGTTTCCCACAGCCTTTAATCACTGATAATTGGTCAGCCCTTTCCCATCTTCCACTTCTCCCACAAAAGCCCTCCCAGTAGAACAAATAAAAAACATTCCTCTCACCCTTGCCATAATCTCAGTAACATATTTCATATTTACACATGTCTCTTCACATAATGAAAATGAAGAAACCCTTCTCTCTGAAAGCCCCATTTATTTTCATGGCTTGGTACTGCAAACAAAATAAAATAACATCTAATCTGAATACTTCAGAAAGACCAGCATGTTCAAAATCCAATCCGCCCTAGAAATTCTTCATAATTCCACACCAAAATTCAGTGCTCCATGTACATCATGGGACCAAAGAAAAGAACCCCATAATGGAGAGAGACATACAGACAGAGAGAGAACAAAATCATCAATAATAATTGAATATATTTTTTTGATAAATAATAATAATAATTGAATACAAGGAGAATACAGGATATATAACATGGTTCCTGAATTTCGGTTTCATTTCCTTTGCATTCATTTTTCAATTTTATATTAGACTAAACAGTTTTAACACGTTTTGTTCACCTTCACTGGTTAGTTCTCTATGTGCATTGCATTGTACTAGCCATAAACATCAAACATAGCAGGGGACATTGTAATGCAGACATTTTTTAACTGAAAAAAGATTTCATTAAACAAGGAGAAATACAACTCAAAGCACCCCCTAATAGGCTAGCCTCAGGTAACCAACCAACCATTTACACAACATAATTTGTGCAGATTACAGTGTATTAACCAGCCCCAAAAAAAGAGATCATTCCTATTGGCCCCAAGTTTGCCTAGACTATCAGCCAGTCCATTTGCAGCTCTGAATGTCGAACATTGAGCAATTCATAGACATTAGGTGCTGAAGTTCTATGAGCGTGTATCTGAATCTCTCACACCTGCCTTATCGCCTATCAGCCAGTCTATGACCACCTAAGAATCACCGTCTATTAATGCATTCCTGAAATTAGCTAATGTAGCCACTCTTACCCAATCTGAATCACCATGATCACTTGCTGTTATGGAGTCTCCCACCCCTAAAGGGCTTGAGAAAAGTGCATACAGATCCTACTTCCTCTCTGAAAACTCCCCCAACACCTGAGGCACTCAGGTTGCCGCTACTACATCCTTCTGTATTCAATTTAATCCAGTTGGGTAGCAGAAGAGTCCAACTACATCTCTAAGCCGTCTTCAAGGATGAAGAAGACGCTGCAATTTTCTGCCAGTTTCTGATGACAAATCTGAAGAGTACCACCTTCAATTTGATATTCTCAATGATTATATTGAATCCATATTACCATTCTGCTTATCATCAAAAATCCTGCTATTTCTTTCCACCCAAATGCACCAGAGTGTTGCTTCCCTCATACGTCTCCTTAGGGCTTTTCCTCTCTCCTTTTTGAGGACCAAAGAAACTTTGGCTGAAAAGCACTACTAGATCCCCTAGGGGGGATTTCAAATGAACACATGGAAGTGACAGATGTAATAGAAATCACTTTAACCAAACATGGCAACTACACCATTCAAAACTCCAGTGGCTAGAGCAGAAAGAAAGGCACACAACAGTAACGTTGTATTGAACCTTTGTAAAAATCACTTTTTTTAAGTAATTTCATGAACCTTAAGGGAAAATTGAAACTTTGGAAGTAGTCCATTTCAAAGTTAGGGCACTTTCTCTTTTTTCATTTTGTCAATCAACACACTTTATCAAATTGAAGCAACTCCAAACCCCATTCACCCCCCCCCTAAATCATCTTCTTCCAGGCTTCCACCATCACAGCTATCAGCCCCATTGCTATCCACAACTTTCCATTTGCTGACTGTCCATAAGCACCGACCTATAGTAAATCACAATAATATATACACTTGTATGTATGTGCGTAGATATGAATTTAAACAGTGACAGCAGACAATACCAGCTGACAAAAATCACCTAAGGAAACATGTAGCAAACTATTTATTAATTGCAACTTGCACAATCACTTCCATGGAGGAGTTCACTAATACATTCCTTGATAAGAGCATCATGCAATGAGAGCACCACAATAATAAGCAAAAACAATTTAGTCAAACATTTCCATAACATCTTTTAAAAACATAATGGGAAGCAAGGAGAGGAAAAATATAGAGGTTGCAAAAGCCATGATCCTCTCTAATAGCAATATTTATTGACTCCAATCTACTTCAACTGCCACCAAAAAAAAAAACTTCAGCCAATTCCAGTTTAGTTCCAATTCCTCTCCACCCTTTATTGATTGCCAACATTAGGCCATTATTTTTGCTCATGGTTTCAAATGTCGAGAAATGTCGCTAATGTCACCCGACGTGTGTCAATGTCGACTCACCGACATGAAAATGGATGGTAATATAAAAATTACATTATTTCGGTCGACATTTCCTATATTTTGGAAAGGTCGACCAAATCGGTGCAAATAACCAAAAAAAAGACAGTTTTTCCTATTATATCAATAGGATGTTGACTAATGTACATTAATAATATAATATATTAGTAAATTATATTATTATAATACAGTATATTAATATAAATTATTACATTAATAATTTCTATTTAATATTTCAAATAAAATATTTATAAAAAATAATTAACAAAATATAAAAACAAAAGAATAAATTAATTACTTTAAAATATAAAACATAAAATATTTTTCAAGTAATAAAATATTAACTAGTTAGTATTTTCTAAAATATTTATTAAAATCAGAAAATGTTTACCAAATTTTATAATAAATCATATTCTACATTTAATATAAAAAATCAGAATAAATTTATTAAATTTTATACTAAATCATAATTTATTATAAGTTTAGTATTAAAAATCATAATAAATTCATTAAGTTTTATAAGAAATCAGAATTTATCATA